TTTATATTGAAAGTCTGACCGGAAACACTGATGTTCTGAATGGGTTCAGTCAGCGTGGATCATGCTTTTATATTGAAAGTCTGACCGGAAACACTGATGTTCTGAATGGGTTCAGTCAGCGTGGATCATGCTTTTATATTGAAAGTCTGACCGGAAACACTGATGTTCTGAATGGGTTCAGTCAGCGTGGATCATGCTTTTATATTGAAAGTCTGACCGGAAACACTGATGTTCTGATTGGGTTCCGTTAGTGTGGATCATGCTTTTATATTGAAAGTCTGACCAGAATCCGCTTTCCGCCAAGCTTTGCCGAAACTAGCCGAACATTACCGAGGATAGGCGGAGTTTTTCAGCCGGGGTTCGGTTCGGGTTGAGGGTAAAGATGGAACCGTAAAGACCCGGTCCATCTCCGACCAGAACTCGGAGGTCTCTGCCGGCGGGCAGCAGCTCGGAGCGGCTCATGATCGGAGCCCGTTCGGTGAGTGTTTCCATCGGCGGAGCTTGTTCCAGATTTCCCCTGAAAAACCTGAGATTCTATCAGAACGGCCGTCATCAAAGGCTAATGCGCTGGTGCCGCTCAGTCAGACTGCGTGACGTAAGAGCGGATCCGGAACTGGAACCATCGGCTGCTGTTTGATGACCGGTTGAAAATAACAGCATCCTCCTCATGACCAGGGCACCATTTGATGCACAACACCTGGATGCTGCTGCTGCTGCAGAGGGAGAGAGAGCTGCTGGCTGACTGACTGGTCTGACTGACTGGTCTGATGAACTGGTCTGTTTGACTGGTCTGATGAACTGGTCCCATAGTGGGTGTTTAACTGGTGCCAGTGGGTCTGAGGTGGGGTCCACCCTGGACAGGTCACCAGTCTATCTTATGGCAGCACAGACTCATTCTGTGAACACAGACTGTATAAAAAATGACTTGTGTTTTTTTTTTTTTACAGTGATCCTGACATTTCCATCCATAAAGTTCAGCAGTGATCAAATGTAAACAGTGTGGGAGAAAAAACATGGAGCATAAAACGGTTTGATGTGGAAGTTCAGAGCATTAATCTATATGCGGTGTTTTGGTTTGGTTTGCAGAAGTTCTAGGAACCACTAGTAAACCTGCAGATTGAGAGCGAAGTGCTCTGTTAGGAACATCAGGAACAATCAGATCTCTGATATCAGATGGAGCTTGGCCATTTAAGGCTTTATATGTGAGAAGGAGGATTTTAAATTCTATTCTGGATTTATCAGCAAGACAATATAGACAACTCTTATTGTCATTTTGTAT